GTGTCAAGCTTTGGTCCACTTACCTCTCTGAGTGCTCAACAGATGAATGGCTAAAGAATATATGACATTTGTACCCAATGGAGGACTACTCTGCCATGCAGAGGAGAAATTTGGATCATTTGTAGAATAATGGATGCATTGAGAGCATAATGTTAAATGAAATAGATCAAATGCAAAAGCTTAAATATTGCTTCATTTTTCTTATATGAGAAACTCAAAGTAGAAATACATCAAAGAACAAACTAAAAGATAGATAATAGGAAACAGAAAATAAATCTTTTACAAATGGAAAGAGAACCAAGAGATGGAGGGAAGAGTGGTGAGGGCAGAGGATAAGGGGAAATAAAAAGAATTAAAATGTGTTATGCACATGTGCCAACTCCTCATGATGAATGTAATCATTATATACTGCAAATATGTACAAAAAATTAAAAATAAAGGAAGGAGAAGGATTCAGGTCAGAGCAGGATATCAGAGATACCCTCTTGCTTGATACAGATCTTGAGGAGAAAAGTAGCAACCACTCCAAAGAAGGTACAAAGTTCTATTTGAAGTATTTTGTCTATACTACTATTAAAAAACAAAAAGCCTGGAACAACTGAAGGAGGGGGATAAAACTCCATGTCATTCAGGGACCATGTGGAAACCACTAAAGACTGAGAAAATGGAAGAAACAAACACACTAAAACCCTGTGTACAAAGGCAAAGTCAGTATATTAGGGCGGAGTTGCTGCATTTGAGAAAGGCTGGAGACCTGGGAACATAGGATTTGCTGAGAGTAATGCTAAAGCAGGACAAGAGAAAACCTTCTCCATCCCTCACAAACTACTAAGTGAAGTATCATAAGCAAAACCAGTCTATTGCTGAAAGTGAGATCTTTCCAATGAGTGAATTTACAAACAAGTCTAGAATTTATGGAGGTACAGAATCATTGAGACTCTCCTCCCCATCATGTGCACAAGGAAAGTGTAGAGGAACTGCAAGGCAATAATTCCCTGAAACCATTGCAACTACAAAATCCCTCCTCAACTCTTGACTAGATTAACTCAACTTGCTACATTTAGAGCCTCACATAAATAGAGATGTGTCTGTTTCAGGCATGAGCAATATCTATTTCAATTTGTATTATCTTATACATAATGGCTATAATCCAACAAAAAAAAATCACAGAGTGATAATGCAAGAAAAGTAATATGCTGCTGAAATACAGTGGAACTAGTAGAACCAGAATGATAGATTACCAGAATGTCAAGATGATTTGAGAATTTTAAATAACTATGAATAATACATTAAAATCCATATGAATGTCTGAGAGCAGACAAATAAAATTATAAGAACATATTTTAAATTTCATCATATTGATGAAACATAAGAATAAAATTAAAATGCTAAATACAGGAAAAATGGTGAGCTAGTAAAACTGCTCTAGACAAAGCAAAAAGACAGTAAATATGAAAATGATTCAATAGAAATTGGCTAGGCTAAATCAGAAAAAGTGTATCAAAACAGATTATATGGACTATATGGAAGACCTTGAAAACAATATTGATCACTCTAACAAAGAAAAGGGAACAAAAGAAAGGAAAGAAAATACTCTAAGTTAATGGCTGAGAAATTTCCAAAATAAATGAAAGACTTGAAACTGCAGATTGAAGAAATTCATAAATAACCAAGTAGTATAAATAATACAAATATAGAAATTACTAGACAAAGTATATTCAAAGTGATGAAAATTAAGATGAAGAGACAACCTTGAAGGGAGCCAGCATATATTAAGCATAGGAAATATTATATTTACATGTATGTATATACATGAAAAATAGCAGATTTCTGAAGATTTCACATTAGAAATTACTGAAGGTAGAAAATCATAAAATTATGTTTTTAAAATGTCAAAGGTCAAAAAAATCAACCCAGAATACTTTAATGGGATGAATCAGCTTGCAACTACTAAAATAATTACTTTTTTACTACTTCTGAAAATAATTATGAGAAGAATATTGGAGGAAAGGGAAATTAAAATATAAGAAAATAATGTCTCTCTCCTTGAAGGACAAAGCTTACTCTTCTTCAAACACAGATTTACTTAAATTGCAGTGATAATTTTTAAGTCTGTAAAGTAACATATACATTGGAAAACCTGGAAGAAACATTGACTAAGTAAAAGCCTTAACATTCACAGTTTACCATGTAAAAATCAATACTGTTTTCCCAAAATTATCTGCCATTGGAATTCAAGTTTAGATTTTTTTTCTAAAACTTCAGAGGCAAGGTGAAAATTTCTATTTAATACTCTTCCCAGGTTTCTGATAAAAAATTGCAGCTAAAGAAAGTGGAAAGCCAGTATATAACTGTTAACAAACTATTTATGGAGAATTAATGATAAATATAATTATTTTTACCTCCAATTGTTAAACAGATCCATAACTTTGCATCATTTAAAAATCAGTGGGTAGCTCCAACATCCAAGGTTATTGCAGCTTGAATAAGGAAACATCTCAGTGATGAAACTATGTAATGTGTCAAATATTTTGTTGGTTTATTCTATAGAAGAGTTACATTGGCAAGTCTATCTATGTGAAGCAGTATTTATATTTTTTCCTGATCTTTGTATACAAGAAACAAAACACAAACTACCTCAAAAAATGGTATATTTGCACAAAAAAGGACCTCTTACTCACTGCCTGTTCAAGTGATCATATAAAACCACTCTGAGATAGCACAGTATCTGTAATACCAGGAGAAAGTTTAAACCAAGAATGTAATATAAGAAGTGCTGGCCTGAAAATCTAAACTCAGTCTTCTTAGGGTAAATGATTGACATTTGTACTATAATTACTAGAAATGATTGACTGCTCTTGTAACTCTACCAAGTATAGCTTTCACTTTTCTGGGTGGTTGGTTTTGCATAGTTGGAATTAATTAGATGGCTAAATACAAATTATTAATATCCTGGTATGAAAAGCAAGCCCTCTGTTGGTTCTTTTTTTTCCCTTAAATGCTTTTATTGGTACATTTTAGGTATACAATATATTTTCATTTATCATTGGGTGCTTGTACCTGTACATGAGTATCTTTGTTCTTATTTTTTCCCCATTCCCCTGCCCTCCCTTCAGCCCCTCCACCTTTCCCTATTTACAAAGACTTTATTTCCTTTTTTTCCTTTTATCATATTTTTTCCTTTCCCTTCTTCTGACTTCCCCTTTTCTTTGCACCTTTTCTTCCTATTTCACATGATCAAATATTCATTTTAATCCTTATTTACACTTTCAGTTTCTCACACCAGAGAAACTATTCAGTATTTACATGCTTGTCCTATTTATTTCACTTCAGAGTATGGCCTCAGTGTGCATCCATTTAGCTAGTTTCTCATTCTTTATGGCTGACTCTGTAGGTTCTTAATACACAGTAATTTTCAATACAGTAATTGGCAAGCAAAGTAACATTAAAGTAGAGGAATTTTGTAAGATGACATCATATGTATCATTTAACAGTCTGACATTTCCAGACACCATTTTAATTTTAGTTCTAATACCAAATTATAAAACTTCAGGAGCGCTAGTTTACTTAGTGAGACATAAGTAGACATACTATTTTAGCAGGAGTTTGTTTTGGCAGGCTGTGTGAGCAAACTCAGCATCATCTTCTGCACGTAATTTAATCGGCTTGAGAACACCATGGGGAATAAAAGAGAAAAAACTGGAAAGTTAAAATTTGAGTGTGTGCTCCTTTTCAGACATTAAAGGGAAATAATTAGTGTTTAAATATCATTGGGATGAGCTGCTTCTTCATAAAAATGGAGGCCACAGATATGTTGGAGGAAATTAATATAGAAAATAAAATAGCAAATTTAACCCTGAATATCAAATTAGCTAATTATATGCTTTCATTTTTGCTTAGTAGAGAAGGAAAATCAAATTCAAAGGAAATGGAAAATCTTAGTGAATGCCAAAAGGATTTCTCCCTGTTTTATAGTTCTTTGGCATAGTATCTATATGTATTTACACAGATGGGCATTATGAGATTTAATGGTAACTGGAAGTAATTTGATATATAGAAAAGCAATTAAAAGAAAATGAATGACTACTTTAGAAGAAAAAAATTCTACTTCATTCTTAAATGTATTTGAGATCATACCGTATTGTAAATGTTAAAAACAGTGAGATGCAAAGACACAAAAGCAACATTGCACATCTTCTGAAATTCACATTTGAAATAAACTCAGAGTGAAAAAAAAATCCCAAAATTTGATTTGGTGTGACTACTTGTTGATCTCTTGTTGATCAAGGTACATCTTGAAAAAA